AAGAGAAAAAAAGAAAAAAATGGATACTTGGGCCAATGCAGGTAAATTGAGGCAGGGTTTTCTAAACAGGAAAGAAAATCTTGCTCTTTCCCTTGGCTCTCAGATAACTAATTCCTCCATGCATTTCTGCATCTTCATATTCAAAATATGCTCTAATATCTAGGAGAAGATATTATAAGAAAGAAGAAGAGAAAGGAGAGATAGAGGAAGTAAGGGAGAGTGAGAGACTATACTGAAGAAAAATTTACTAGGGTACAGCATTGTGGGATGGAACTGCAAAGATAGAGTACAGATGTTTTGATTCTAATTTGTGGCAGGTGAACAACCTTGGGTTTTACCATATCTCTCACTAGCACTTTGATTTGAAATTATACTGCAGAAAAACTTTACTATGTGTGTTTGATAACATCTTTCCCCTAAAAATGCAGCCACTGTGGACCAAGAATCTGAACTGAGACCAACACTGAACAGGCAGGTGGGTCCTCCTGAGTCTGTTCTCTTCCATGTGTTTTAACATTTCTTCATTGACTGCAAATCGTGTGCATACAACATCGCTTTAAGTTTACTTCTTTCTAGGACACTGAAAGACAAGAAGTTCAGGAGGTGACATACTTAGACTTGGATCACATCTTCAAACAAAAATTGACCACTTCCATTTCCCATATTCCCAAAGAATTTTCCACAGATCCCAGTGTGTACATGGAAGTCAGGAAATGTTAATCTGAGATGAAAGATCTTCTTCACCCCATGACTTCTCACAGAACTGTCGCAACAAATCCTCTATGGAGACCACAGACTTTTCTCCAGAAAAAGCTAATATATACAGTGAAATAACATCTGGAATGTGAAGACAGAAGTCCTTAACTTTGGGACCATCCTTCATGATTCTAATATAGTTTGGAAATTAGCTTTCCATTGTTTACAAATATTACGACCCTCCAAATAAATCAAACTTTAGTACTTTGTCCATGAGTCTCTGTTTCATTTCACTCTGGCAGAACTTTACAACATGACTAGCTGTAAATTCTAGATCTACTTGAAGATGTAATCATGATGAGTACTTCACAATTCCATATCAAGAAGAAACTCACTCTTTTTTAGTATGTATTTCTAATGCTTAATAATGTTATACAACAAACTGGATCTCATGACAATTTCTATAGGTATTTTTTCTTTCCTTTCTTTGTTATTGGTTTTATTGAGCTATACATTTTCTCTCCTCCCTTTGCTTTTTGTTTCTTCCCTTCTATCCTCTCCTGGTGACCCCCACACTCCCAATTTACTAAGGCCATCTTGTATTTTTCTTCTTCCTATGTAGATCCATGTATGTCTCTCTTAGGGTCCTCTTTGTTGCCTACTTAGTCTAAGGTTGTGGACTTTAGGTTGGCTTTTCTTTCCTTTATGCCTAGAAACCACTTATGAGTAAGTACATATTATATTCGTCTTTCTGGGTCTGGCTTACCTCACTCAACATGTTTTTTCTAGATATATCCATTTGTTAACAAATTACAAGATGTCATTACTTTTCCCACTGTATAGTACTCTATTGTGTAGCTATACCACATTTTCTTCATCCATTCTTCAGTTGAGAGGCAACTAGGTTGTTTCCAGGTTCTGGCTATTAAAAATATTGCTGTTATGAACATAGTTAAGAATGTGTCTTTGTGGTATGATTGAGCATCCTTTGGGTATATACCCAACATGGTACTACTGGGTCTTGAGGTAGATTGTTTCCTAATGTTCTGAGAAATTGCCATACTGATTTCCAAGCAGCTGTACCAATTTGTACTGTCATCAGCAATGGCAGAACATTTCCCTTAGCCCACATCCTCTCTAGCATAAGTTGTCATCAGTGTTTTTAATCTTGGCCATTCTGACAGGTGTAAGAAGGAATCACAGAGTTGTTTTGATTTGTGTTTTTCTGATGGCTAAGGATGTTAAACATTTCCATAAGTGTCTTTCAGTCATTTGAGATTTGTGTTTAGAGTTCTCTGTTTAAGTCTATATCCCATTTTTATTGGATTATTTTTTCTTTTATTTTTTTCTTTTGATGTCAAAAGTTCTTTGTATATTTTGGAGATTAGTCCTCTGTCCAATGTGGGTTTGTTGAAGTTTTTTGCCAATCTGTAGTCTGCCACTTTGTCTTATTGACTGTGTTCTTTGCTTATAGAAACTTCTCAGTTTCAGGAGATACCATTTATTAATTGTTGCTCTCAATGTCTGTGCTACTGGGGTTATTTGTGGATGTGGTCTTGAAGCAGGGAAATAGTGCAAGCACAAGAAAGAGCCTGCACACTCACAATGAATAAGCAAAATTGGTCAAAACAACCTGTCAGCATAGCATGTTAACTAATGACATGCACTCCTAGCCAATCAAAACATACCAGCCCTGACCACCAGTTTCAAAAGGATCAACTAAAAACTTTCCTGCAGCAGCTTAATTTCCCTAACCCAATAAAAACTCCTGAACTTTTTACAATAAAGTGCTTCTTATTAGAATTTATTGGAGTCTATGTCTTTGACTCCACATCTTCTCACCCCCTGCCCTCGGGGAAATGGGGATTGCACAACTGGCAGCAACAACTACAAACTGGTGCCCAGCATGAATGGACTTCTTCCATTGCTTACTTCTTTGGGTCTCTTTTGGGCATTTTTCTTTCTTGTTTGCTGCCCTGGCTGCTGTCTCCATCCCAACTCTCTGCCATCATCCTGAGGTTGCCCCCTTTGGCTGTTTTCGGTGAGTTGACCCCTATTTTAGTTTTCTAAGCCCTTGAGGAGTTGGGGCTTTCTTCTTATCTCTATGTTTTCTTTTCTTTCTCCTATTTGTCTTCCTGGCTAGGAACTCTACATTGTGATTTAGTTCATCCCAGTACCTCCATGTAAGGGCTGACCACACAGGAGGTAGAACCAAAAAACGACAGGTCTTTTTCACTATACTGTGTGAACATAGGGTTATAGCCTAACAAAGCACAGAAGTTCCTCACTATAAACAACACACTCGATCCACAAACACTACTTTCCCTTCTGTCCTTGCCCTTGTGCTGACCCTGACTCGCTCAGAGCCTGGGAGCAACTGGTAACTTTTGCCAGGGGGCCACTCTTCGGGATTGTCTGAGGCTTTCTTGCTTTACAGGGATTCCCAACTGCTCTTTGGAGTGTAGACTGTTGTATTTCCTCTCCTAGTTTCTCTTCTCAACTAATCCAGTTACTTGACCACTTATTAAAGACCTTTAAGGTGGTGACTGGTCTCTTAGTTCACAGGAGGATTTTTTACTGTTTGACTGTGGTTGAATCCCTTTTCCCTTATGGGATTGGGACATTCTCCTCAAATGGTGGGTGACTACTTCCAATAGCCTGACCCTGGAACTGAGCCCAGGGACCAAGATGCAGTTGTTTCTGCTCACCCTTTGTCTTCTGGTGACTCTCTTCTTTGCTATCCCTCCTCATAGTCTCCTCCTGAGGCCCATCATGAATAGTGCCCCTTCCCCGGAGGATGGGGCATTCCCTTCTCTGCCAATGCTGCCAAAAGTTCTGTGAGTCTCATGCAAGGGCTACTGCCCTGAATCTCGCCCATTGTTTCCACCTCTACCTGGTCTCCCACCCACAATATACAGAGCCTGGAGCAGAAGCTGCCTTTTCTGGCCATTTTGTTGAGCTATTACAGTAGCACCTCGAAGATGAGGTGGTCCAGGCCTCGGACTCACTCTCCCCACCTGTCTTGACCCCATTGAGTCCTGGTGTGGAGATTACACCACCATATGATGTGTCCCTTGACAGCAGCAGGGTGGGTGGGAACCTGGCTGTGTTAGGCCCATGTATATCTTCTGATGGCCTAACTGGTCTATTTACTTCTCATTCTCTTCCTCCTCTACAACATCCTCAAAGCCAAAGCTCAAGAAATGCTTTCCCCTTTCTTTAGTGGGTCGCTCGGTCAGAGATTCTGTATGAGGCATCCTGCAGTGCTGAGAAGCCATTGACAATTCCTCCCCAGCTTGGCCTCTGGAAACCACGTCAGGTCCTCTAGTCCTAGGTGGAAACAGCAACTCCAACTCCTCTGGTGGTGCTGGGAGAGTTGGCAGGGGATTGGTTAGTGATGGCACATCCCCTGGGGAAAGATAGACTCATCACTTCGAGAGGCTGAGACTGTGTTATGGAGGGGTAACCTTGAAAGACATAGCAGGAATGGTACAGAGAGAAGAGATGCTGAGTTTTATGGGGTGGAAGAAACTTCCCCTGACACAGTAGGAATGGATAATGAAGGAGGGGTGGCTGGGCTGACCTCAGGAGGAGGAGCTTTGTCTCAGTGCAGAAGTATCACCTACTACTTCAAAGTGAAGGAGAAAGAGGAGGAGGAAGTGGCTTGAAGTTCTTCGTACCACCCAGGGCATCCTAGCCCCAACTCAGCATTTCCTGTTCTACTATCTCTGATTCCAATGGCCACAGCCCTAGAAATGCCTGACAAGGAGAACATGATTGTGGTTAAGGTAGAAGGCCCTTTAGAGTTCATTCTTGAGACAGCTGATGAACTTCATGTGAAGACCTGGATGTCTGACATCCAGGAGTCCCTAAGCCCAGGAAGCTGTCCTGCTATTGGCCCCAACCCATGGCCCTGTCTCTGGCTTCTGGGACCTCCTTCCTCACAAAGGATAACACAGACAGCCTGGAGTTGACCTTCCTGAATCATTCAGAGTCTGCCCAGCCAGGATCTCATGCTGGGACCCAACAAGAGTAACAACCTTCCTCAACACCCAGTAATACCACTTTGGGGTATATATCCAAAGGATGCTCAATTGTGCCACAAGGACATGTGCTCAACTATGGTCATAGAAGCATTGTTTGTCATAGCCAGAACCTGAAAACAACCTAAATGTCCCT